AGGGGTGATAAAAGTTGCTCCAATGTTCTTTTGGTGAAATGCTATTTGTGTTAATCATCGTTGGCTATTTTGTTAATGTCATTAATTATTGTCAAAGTCAAGCGATTCACAATTCATAAATTTGATTAATGAAAATTCAACGTGAGAGATTTGACTCCTACTGATGTGGCGAGGGCTGTAGCATTGATTGAAAATGACCAGTGGGCCAATGTTCTTTTGACATAATGAGAGCCGCATCTGCACCAATTCAATAGATGGCAGGGAAAGACTATATCGCCGAGGTGCACAAAATGAACAATTTGATTTTACTGTTTCTGTCTCCTATGGCAGAGGTTTAGTCATGGTTAGGTTAGGTTAGTCAAAAAACGACACATTTTCAGATTCAATTTGAGTTTTGAGGTGTAAAATTGATACCAATATCCACCTTTCCTTTGAAACTCTGTATTTTCTTTTATAATTGAGATATCAAGATGAATAAAAAACGAAAATATTCGGAATAGATTATGGGCTCCAATTTGGTGTTGAGAAATCGTTTCAATTTTCAGTGGTTCAGTCCACAGGATGTCAAAAAAAAAACACCGAAAAATCCGTACTTCCTTTACACCCCTGTATATGATGGAAAGACTCATCGTTTGACGGTAATTATTTCTCAGATGTATTCGTGAAGCATGAAGCTACATTTCGTGAAGAAAAAAAATTTAATCGAGCGATCGGTTCGAAAGAAAATTGATGTCAAACTTAGTGTAAATTTTGCCCGTTCCCCTAATTGTGCCAGTGTGTGTATAATGTACGAAATTTCTCTTATGTCACATATCCCCGGAATGTATGGAATTTAACGCATTTCAAACTGTTGCTTCAGATTTTGTTTTCATATTTATTGAAACATAAACGTCAAATTCATTGAAGAACTCTTGTGACAACTTCTTTCGAAATATCTTGGTTAAAATCATTAAAATATGCCTGAAAGACAATTTGGAAAACCTATCAAAAAATTCATCTTCCTCAAGTTATGTACCTCAATAAGTAATTCTTCCAAATCATGAAAATCATCCATTTTCTCAAAGTGGTCCACAGTATTTTCAAGAAGAAATTATTTGTCTGATGATGGCCGTAGCGCCGAAACCGGTTACATAATTATGTAAAATGTTATACTACTATTATATGAAGTGTGGTCGACCGACTTTGAGCCCCTAGTTTTTTTCTTCTTGGAAGTAATTCTTCCTTTCAACTGTTTTTTTTTCTTTTTTTTCACCTTTAAAATTTTCAGTACTAATATTGGAGACTGCCAGTTGTCAATGTCTCAGTGGTTAAGAGTTTGTCTTCACTTCTTCAATGACATTGTATAATGTTAATTGAGCTCTTAACTATCGTCAGATACATTATTAGTACCGGTTGGCAAAGGAATCATTGCCCAAGGCGTCATTCAGTTGTTTTTCTATGTTATGAGATGTTCTGTAACAGCATCTGAGAGCACAGTGAGAGGGAGAAGATTTTCAGTCATGTGACCTCTGGAGGAAACAGATCGATAATATATAAAAGAACGCTCCTGATGCATGGGGAGTCTACTATTGCAATAAAAATCGTGATTTCTTACCGATTTGGATCAAAATGTTTTCATTTTCATTTATGGGCACGCCTTTTTCTGTCTGAACTATACTGTAGCTTCGTTCATATTTGAGTAGTTTATCTATGACTTATACAAACTTTGCTGCTTATACTGAACACATTAAAATTCAATTCAAACTCAAACCAAACCAGAAACCAGTGATGAAACTCCGACTCCAATAACTGACCTTCACTCTTCAGTCATTCAACAAAAAGCTGTCAAAGTTGAAATAAATCTAATTCCTCTGTATCAATGATCCGAGCAGAACCTTTTTAATTTTTTTCCTTGCTGTCAAATTACAGAACGCTCCGAATAAATTGTGTCTTGCTCTAAATTATATTGAAAAACGACTCTGGAGATAAACAAGCAAATAAATGTGATTGCAGAACATCTCATTAGACTTTTGACATTTGGATAGAAGATGCAGTACCTTGAACTTTATAATTTCCATGAGAAAACAATTGAATATTATTTGAATTGAATCCGCTTCTACCTTTTAGGTTCCTCACCATCTGTCGGTGGGACATTAAACCACTGTGAGAATTCGTGGCATTTTTGTCTTTCTGTAATAATATGGACGTAGGGGTCTATATTCGACGTACTCGCAAGATATGGTTGTTTAAACAATCTACTTTTACACCTTTGCACTTCTGCCACTAGATGGCTCTTATCTAGATCGTCCTCCTACCCTTCGGGGCATTTGATTGACATCAGTTTTCTTAAATTCTTAGTTTTCAGGTTAGAATTTTCAAATTAACCATCAAAGAGATTGATCATGAAGCTAGTAGCTAGTACCCATCGATAGAATGAAAAGTGTGTTCATGAGAATAGATTTTGTGACATAAGAGAAATTCAATGAGATACTACAACCGATAGGGATTTGCATGTTGTAAAAACAAATTAATGAAAAACTGCATTTTGTATAGTAAATTGATTGCACTAATCTAACATTGAATTTTATTATATCCCCGTTTTATTAACACGAAGCATTTTTTTAAGTTATATATTGATTATTTCAAAACGAATCGAAAAGTCCATGAAAGAACTGTGCAATTTTCTTATTCTACTTCTAGGTACTTTCAAGTGTCACATTCTAAAAAATTAAATACTGTTATTTCTTACTCCAGATTATTGTAAAATGAGTGACTATTTCAATTTGAAATTGTTAAATTCTTTGCGTTCATTTAACTTATCTCAACTTTCAATCTTTAAATGGAACACCTATCGATTTTCGAAATTTTTTCTTTTTTTTTTTCAAATGTCAAAATTATAATATATACAATATTTCTTCACAGCCCCCTGAATACAACTGTCATTTGATACTTTTTCTTATTATGGCGTTAAAAAAGCGCTACTGTTTGGAGAACAATCTCTTGAATAAAAAATATGGAAATTACAAGGTGACCCATTCACAAATGGTTTGACATAAAGAACATAGAAGTGTTTTTTGAATCAATAATTCTGTTTCAATACTCGTAGTTTTTGGTCTCCAGGTAAAAGTGTTAATAATTGTGCAATTCAGGGCCGGTTTATCAATTACAATTCATCTGTCAGTTAAAGCTTAACTACCAGTTTTTTTTGAAAGGTCGGTTTATCTACACCAGGGTAACTTTATCCGGCAGTTAAAATGTCAAATATTTATCTGTAAGTTTTAACTGGCGGATAGTCGATATCTGGAGGTTAATGCCTATACATAACCTCACTTTATTAAGTTGTTTTGATTTCCTAGCTTTCTGGTGTGACAAAAAAGTTAAAAAATGGAGAGTACTAGTAGTTCTACAAAGAAAGGAGGATGCAATTTCACAGCAGAGGAGAAAAATTTGCTGATTAAAATATCGAATCAATACAAACGTGTGATAGAAAATAAAAAAAACAGATGGGGCAACCTGGAAATCGAAAGAGGAGGCTTGGGTGCAGGTTGAAGCAGCCTTTAATAGCTGCAGTAGTGGCACTGTAAGAAAGGTTCAGTTTCCTTTAAAGTACATAATAAGTAGTTGATTTTTCGTAGCCTCGTAATCTTCTTGAAATCTTGCATGAAAATCCTGGTCATCCCACTTTTCGAAGTTGTCCACCCTTTTCCTTACTGTATATGGCCTTCGCTCGTACTCAAGCACTTGCACAATATCCTCGTCCTCGTCGCTATCCAGAATATAATCTTTCAAAAAATTCATATTTTTATCAACAACCAAAAACTCATAAAACAGAAAACCTCGAAAACAATCAACAATAACCTAACAAAACGGTCGTGACTACTCGTGATCGGTCGTGATGTGACATGACCTTGTTCTTGTAACAACCAATGAGATTGCTTACATTTATTCATCAGCATTGCCAACTTTCATTAGCTGGCAGTTGATTAACTGGAGAATAAAAATGAGTTGATAAACCACTTCCAAACAAACTGGAAGTTTATCTGCTAGATATTTTTATCTGACGGATAACTAACTGATGGATAATATTGGCAATTGATAAACCGACCCTCAGACAGCATTTTCTTGAAATTGTAGATTAGTTATATTGAACTGAATCATCAGAGAGAGATTTTCATAGAAAAAAGTCAATGCCTATACTATGAACACATTCAGAAGTGGAATCTCAGGAATTCATAAAAAAACAGTCAAACATAGTGGTCTGATTTATCAATTTTTTCGCATTGACTAACCATTCCATACTGAATTTCACAACTGAATAATGAAAATAATGAAAAAACAATGTCAACTACCATTCAGAGCTAGCAAGAACAATTTTGTGTTATAGCCGTAGAAAAATAGTTATTTTTTTACTAGGCAGCAAAGTTTCTATGCCGTTTGAAGAAAAACTTTTTTATGACTGGAAATCTGGCAACAGCACATTCCAGCCGGTCATTCTAGTATCTTACAAAGGACCATAATCCACCAATATGTTTGAATTTTAATAATAAGGTCTCCTTGAGTAAATAGTGTATAGGATGTCCCTATTGCTCAATTTTCTCGATTTTGTAGTATTCGATGTGTTTGATCCGCTCAATTACATTTGACAAGGTGGAAACGATAATTATTGTGCATTTTTGATTTAGCGACAAAAACGTATCACATGAAAGTTTTTGATTGACTTTGGTATACAGTCGTCTTTATTGGAGGCGAATTCAGTAACATATATTTTTTTCTTCACTAAATTACTTCCTGAGATTATGTTTCTAAAAATTGACGAAGTAGGCTTTGGATTTTGTATGGAATACGACGCTTTTTGCTCAGGCTCTACAACCTAATGAATTACTGTCCAAATTGCACAGTTGATGAACATTTCACAGGGGGACTCAAAAATAAATGACTCACATAACGACGTTCTTGTATTCTCAATGAATTTTTTCACATTCCCTAGTTACCCTTGTACTAACTTTTCTGTTTGTTTGCAGCAACAAGAGCAAGATCCTACAAATTTGTATATAGCAAACTTGCCTCCCAACTTCAAGGAGTCTGATCTGGACAGTATGCTAACAAAATATGGGCAGGTAAGTTTCTGCTCGTGCCATCTCGTGACCTTTGTTGTAATCACAAATCACGAATTCAGAGGTAGGTAATCACATGAAAAAAATTTCCAGCTTCCAGAACAAAAACAAGAATTACAACTCCAATATCCTAATTTTTTCTAGGGTGTTCGAATGTGAATTCTCCAGAACGATCTCAAATGTTCTGAATGATATAAAATGTTCCAAAATATTCTAGAATATTTCGAAATGTTCTCAAATGCTATAGAATGCTTCAAATTGTTTCAGAATGTAATAAAACCTTTCAGAATGTTCTAAAATATGTTTGAGAATCTTCTAAAATGTTCTCAAATGCTGTAGAATCTCCTTAAATGTTCTATAATATTTTGAAATCTTCAAGCATGCAATGGAATCTTCTCTAGAACGTTTCGGAATGTATGTTCACAAATGCTATAGGATATCTTGAAATGTTCTATAATATTTTGAAATTTTTCAAAACGCTCTTGAATGTTCTGAAATTGAGAATGGTCTTTGATGTTATAGCATAGTCCAGAGAATACGAATGTTATAGCATAGTCCAGAGAATACGTTCTGGAATTCTATTGAATACTCTAAAAGTGCTTCAGAATGATATAAAATCTTTCAAAATGGTCAAAAATGTTCTAAAATATGCTTGAATACTTCTAAAAGTACAAAAAAATTGTTCTAGAATATTCCAGAATTCTCTAGTTTATGAAATGCTGGAGAATCTCCTAAAATGTTTTAAAAGGTATAGAACATCCTATAGTAGAATGTTCTAGAATTGTCTTACATGATCTAAAATGTTCCAGAAGTTGTTCTCCAATATTGATGAGTTCAAAATATTTCTCAACATGTTTTCTCATTCTGATTTTATGAACCCACTTAGTGATTAAAACATTGCATACTCATAAGGATCCATGTGGGTTCCAAATGAACAAGTTAATTCAATCAAATTTTTACTTGAGAAGGTTATGAAATATTTTATTAAGCTCTAGAATGTTCTAGAATAGTATAAAATGTTCTCAAATCTTGTTTAATCTTCCAGGATGTTCTAGAATGCTCTCAAATTGTAATGTTCTAGAATCTTCCAGGAGATTTTAGAACGCCCTATAATAGACGAAAATGTTCCAGAATGTTTTAAAATGCTGTGGAATCTTCTAGAATGTAGAATAATTTTCCAAATGTTCCAGAAATATCTGGAATGTTCTTAAATTCTTGCAGATCTCCCAGAATTCCCTGTTATTCACTGAAATGTTCCAGAATATCCTAAAATCTTCTGAAATGTTTAAGAATGTTTTAAAATGCTCCAGAATATTCAAGAATGTTCTAAATCGTTCCAGAATATTTCAGAATGTACCTAGTTTCGAGATACTGTTCAAAATGATTTGTTGATGGTTATTTTTCAACAGTTCCATTTTTTCGATTCTTCTTCAAGGTGATATCGACGCGTATCCTTCGCGACGCCGCTGGCATCTCTAAGGGCGTCGGTTTCGCCCGCATGGAGAGCAAGGAAAAGTGCGAGTACATCATCCAAAAGTTCAACGGCAACGTCCTCAACGCCGGCAAAGAACCTCTACTGGTCAAATTCGCCGACGGCGGCAGCAAGAAGAAGAATCTTTATAAAAACAATGAAAACGGGAAGTTGTGGAGGGATGGGGCTGAAGGCTTGGCAGTGGCGTACGGGGGAGCGGACGGAGGATTGGGAAACGGGGTGGCCGGGCAGCATTTGATGCCGGCGTTGCCGAATTTCAGGACGTACAACCAGGTGAGCTTTCATTTTTTTATCTCTCGGTCATGGTTGTTTTTGTTGCTACCTGTGAAAGCAGTCTTGAAGGTTTGATTTGAATATATCCGGCTCGGAGGACCAATATGTTCGATGCTTGATAGATAGCTGAATGTATTCGTATGGATATGATAAAGAAAAGAAGATCGATATGAGAATTGCAATTCTAATTGCAATCCTTCATTTATTGATTTTTTTGATGAATCTCATGTTTCAACAAAACGTCATGTTAACAACAAATTGAAATGTCTTGCACTATATAGGTTAATACGAGTACCAAACTATTATATGGGGTCATACAAGTACTGAACAAATAGAATACTTTTACAATAAAGGAAATGAAACATGAAGCGATCGGTGTTGAATATATGTTTAACCAACATTATAGGAATTTCCTTTCGTGCGTTCCAAGCGATAACAATGGTGCCCTTCAGACCGGGAGATATAATAATGAACAACAAAATTGTATTGAGAGAAAGGGCCACATTTTATAAAGAGGATGCACATCGAAAAGAATCAACCGATTTGAAACAAACATGGTACAAGAAACTGGCCGAAAATAAAATTCATTTCAAACGAATTTTGAATGAAAAAGACCTGATTCAAGTATTCAGAGCAGAAATATTCAAAAATCCAAGGTTTACTAATAAAAAAGAGGGATAAAATTGAAGTTTTAACGCCGGCAAAGAAGCTCTACTTTTCAAATCAGCAAGAAGAAGAATCTTTATAAAAATAATGAAAACGGGAAGTTGTGGAGGGATGGGGCAGAGGGATTGCTAGTGCGTACGGGGAGGGGGGCGGACGAATGATTGGGAAACGGGGTGACCGGGCAGCATCTGGTGCCGGCGTTGCCAAATTTCAGGACGTACAACCAGGTCATTTTTTTATCTCTCGGTCACGGTCGTTTTTGTGGTAGAAAGAGTTCTTCAATGTACTTGATACTTTCATTTTGACATTCTACTGGTTATCTATTCACTTTATCAGAATATTGTTCGCTTGAACTGCTTGTTGCTACCTGTGAAATCTACAGATGCTCAGCATTCACTGTTTTTACAGGTATTCTTGAGTGCTGCTCTGTATCCTTTGTGAAAAATGTTGCAGTCTTAAAGATTTGATTTGAATAAATCCGGCTCGAAGGACCAATATGTTTGATGCTTGATAGATAGTGGTCTGTATTTGTATGGTAACATTAATTTTGATAATCGAATAGAGGTTGATATTAGAATTGCAATCCGTATTGCAATTCTTTATTTTTGATTTCATTCACAATTTGAAAATGAAAATAAGTATAGTTTGATGAATAAACTAATCGCCTTAAATGTGTATAAAGTTGTTTAAATTGAAATAATTTTGCTGCATAACTTCTATACATTAGAAGCCACCAAATTGATATTTCCTGCATAAATGTGTGTTAATGAAATACAGTTTTTTTTATTCACTTCTACATTTCTGTTATAGTCTAACCTCTGAAATCGTATCTTCAACCATTGTAATATAGAAAAGGACAGAAGTTCAGCTGTGTCCGAACTCTTCTCTAACTAATACATCCAGTAACTCTAGAGTGTATACCGGGTGTAACATGAACATGGTACATCAAACCATTTTGATGAGCTTAAAGTGCTGATAAATTAAGAAATTCGACATTTTGACCGGATTAATAGTTATTTAACCAACTAGTGTATTAATGAGGGCGATTAATGATCGAGGTATTTTAACGTGCGAGCAAAGCGAGCGCGTTGATGTTCGAGATCATTAATCGCCTTTTAATATACGAGTTGGTTGCAAAATTTGTCCGTCTACTGTATTTCTCATCTCTCCTGCAATTAAGACAACTTGGTTCGCGAAGTCATCATTTATCCGGAAACTACTAAGAATCACCCAGTAGCCATGTTACTGACATTAGTGACATTCGACATTTGTCGAAATGATCAACATTAGAAATAAATTCCTTGTGTTCGAAAACAGGGATTAAAATCGTTTCAGAAACTTGGAAAGGCGAACCCGTTAACGGAAAATCTTCAATGAAATCCATATTTTCGATTTAAATGCAGATTTAGTAAGTAAAAGCATAAACAATGAATGCACGCGGTGTATGTTTGGTTGCCTATTAAACAGTCGTGCATTAATAGACAAATTGATCATGAATAGGGGTCATTAATGAACGATTTCATATACATTAAACTTAGTCGTTAATACGAGGTCGACGGAAATTTTTTTTTACCATTATACCTGTCGATATGAGTACATCTGACTCGATCACAATAGTCATGGCATACTCAGATGGAAGATGAAAAATGAAATAAAAATCTTTATTGAAGTTTGAAATGTCACTTATGTGTTATCATTGGATTCAGAAATTGATGCAGAATTGATTGATTGATTGATTGTCTTTATTACCCCAAGAAACATTTCTGTTTATGATAGGGATACATAAATACATATAAAAAAATAATAATAAAGGGTTAACTATAATGAATTCCACTCAGTGGAAACGAATTAATATTGTGTCTTATAAGATTAAAGTTATATTTCATTCCTAAGTAATCAAACCATGCCACATATTTTTCATTCAAATTGTCCTGAGCAAGTATTTTTTAAGATTGATTTTAAACCTTCTCGCATCATGTATATTTTTCAACTCATTCGGTAATGAATTGTATAAAATTATTCCATTGTGAAAAACAGATTGTTTGCCAATGTTTGACTTGAATGTATTTGCTATCAAGTAATTCAATTGAAAATCAAAAGTTTTTACCACTTCCGATGAACCAAGAAGTGGAAAATAAAACCTATCCATGTCAAAACATGAAGTTTATCAAGTTGATAGGTTGTTCCAAATTTCAATCACTCATCTCTAATACTAAGGGAGAAAAAGGGGGCGTACCATAATCCTGTTACACCCGGTATACTACCCCATTCCAGACTTTTTGACACCGAAAAACGCATTTCGACAACTTTCTATTTTGTTGCAGTTCCCTTACGGCCAATGGCCCATCCAATACCTGATGCACCCGCCATTGCAGTCGGTCGAGGACAGCTACAATCTGTCCGGGCATATGGGCGCGCCCTACAAGAGCGACGGACAGGGGCCGCGCGGCATCCCTCTCATGATGCCATCCACCGACACCAGCATTCCCTTCACGAACATCATACCCCAGGTGAGTTCAACGGAAAGTATCTTTCAACAGGAGAAAGAAGAAACTCAAAGTCGGTCGACCACAATATTCAATATCAAAAATATAATCAGTGTGACTATAGTTTCGGCTCTACGGCCATCATCAGACACAATTGAAAAGTACCTAGAAAGTAACAAGTAGTACAGGTGTTGAACAAAGTGGTAGCTGAGAAAGAGATGACATACCTGTTATGTGGAAAAACATCTTAACAATAAAAATTTTTCAGTAATAATCAGTTCGTTATCATAATGATCAGTCCAGCCTCACAATCAACAAAATTTGTAACGGCTGAAAAGCCAAAAAGAACATCTTTGTTTTTTCTTTTCTCATATGTAATACCTCATTCATGAAACGCCAAGAATCCCAAACGCCAAACACGGATAAATGAATGACACTTGAACATTTGCGGGTGAGTGTTCAGACTGAATAAAAAGAGATAAGACACTGCAATTATTCATTCATCAATCATTGAAAAGTATGAGCCAACAATCCCAAACGTTAAACACCGTAAAATGATTGTACATTTGCTGGTGAGTGCGCTCAGACTGAATGACAATAGATAGACAGCGTGATTCATTAGGTTAATCAAATCATTCATCATTAAGAAAAATACTGTTTTCTATTTGAAATTTTGGAGAAGATTCAAAATAAATAATTTCAAAAGGAAGAAGGAAAGCTCAAAGTCATCTCCACTCTACTTTATTACTGATGTTAATCAATCAAGGAGACATGTTCCGGGTTCATAAAAGTCCATCTTCAGCCGTATTTAGAAGTTACTACAAGCAAAGGCATGTGAAAATATACATATCATAAAAAAACAAAAGTTGACTTACATAGAGGTGAAACAGTGTTTCAAATTAGATGTCGATGTCTATCATCATAATATCGTTGTTATATTGGTTAAAAGGGGAGTTGAGAATCAACGGGCTTTCATTAAAATTAAAAGGCCCCGTGCCCTAAGGACGCGCACTTATGAAAACCAAATGTCAAGTCCCAGAAGGGAAAACTTGTCGAGCACTCAATGATGCTCATAAAAACCATATTAGGTTACAAACAGGAAAAACAAAGGGCCCCGTACCCTTGAGAAAGCGCGCTAAATTATCCAAATAACAATTAAAATGTATGGGGCCAAAAGCCAAAAACGTGTTAAATCCAATCTGAGCTTAGAAACATGGAATTAATAGAAACAAGGGCATATGTAACTGTCTTAAATGACACGATATTAAGACAGTGACTTATTTCATTGTTACATTGTGGCCCGAATACAATGATGATTCAATGCTTGATAGGCTTAGAAATCCAAAGATCATTACTTAGACGATATTATCAAGATATTTTCCATATCCTAATCAGTACCAGAAGATTGCAATACAATGAATAACTGTCAAACTAGACATTTTGTGTATACCGCCTACTAAGCTAAATGATACTGAAAATACACTAATGTAGACTCATGACCAGATGTATTAGGACGATACATCAATTATTATAACAATTTCAGTTTCATGTATCCAAATGGATGATCATTATATGGCCACATGGCAAAAATGAAACAAAAATAGTTTCTTCACAAGTAGCCAAATGAAAAAAAAAACAGAGTTTCTATCTTAGTTTTCTCAATATCGTGAGTTGTTTTCGGATAATCTGGGACCGATTAGGGTATGGAAAATATTCTGATAATATCGTCTAAGTAGTGATCTTTGGTTTTGTAAGCCTATCAAGCATCGAAATGTGATTGTATTCGGGCCACAGCCAACTTCATGTATTTCAATAAAATGCAATTTAACAGCCAATTGATAAACGGATATCAAATTGTGATACATAGTTCAATAGAAAATTTTGAGGCCAATAAGATAGGCTTCAAAAATATTCAGGGTGCCATATAAAAAATAAAAGTTGGGTCTACTTTCGATCAAAGAGATGGTTGAAGAAAATAATTGTCGTTGAGTTCAAGGGAAGCGTCATCATCGATAATATAACCCTTGCGAATTTCAAATTACAATAAACAATAAACAAACTACAGGCTGTTACATCTCTCCTGTGTCACCCGATATATTCATCATCATCATCATCATCATCTTTATTATTCTCAAGAAACAATTGAGGTATATGTTTATAACAGGGAACATTAAAAAAACATAATGTATTACATTACATTCAAAATATAGTATTTATAGGTATAATAATAATTATTCTAGTAATTCTCATAGTTTGAGCAGATCCTTGTTTGAGTGAATGAATGATTAAAATAATTGACGATCTCAATATGGATGACATGACAAAATTCAGACGAATAAATATATTTTGAGTTCTTTCTTGAATTTTTTGGTATTGATATTTTTTTTTACTAGATAACTTGACTAAACTAAAGAGGTTGGGCGTGAACACTGTATTTTTTTTTCAGTTGACCACGCAAATGGGAACCATGCAACTGGGCACCGGCTCGTACATATCGCCGCAGTACCAGTACTACCAACCCTCCATTTTGCACGCGATGCCCGTCGACTCCGAGCACACCTCGAACGCCGCCAGTCCTGACGATCCCTACCAGGCGTACCAGCCTGCCCCTAAGTGAGCGGCCTCCGAGCGAGGGGCCCCTAAGCGAGGGGCTATTAAGTTTTTTCGGGGGTCGGAGAGGGTTTTTTTGGGAAAGGGTTGTGGCTTCTGGTTCGGTCGGTATTGGACGATGTTTTTCTAAGATCATAGGGATTCGCTTTCGTGCGCTCCAAGAGATGAAAAATAAAGTGCAGGGGGGTGAAAGGTGGATTAGTACTGCTTTCATTTGAATAATTGCCGATTTGAGCGATCTTGGGTGATTTTGCACTTTTCATGCGATGGATTTTCTTTCGTAAGAATATTTTTGTTTGAAAAACATAAATTTGTAATGAAAATATGAAAAAACCGTTATTTATCGAGATATTTCACGAAAATGTTCGAAATTTCAGTTTCTCTTTCCGCAAGTCAAAGTTTGATTTTGAGAAAGGAATAAAACATTCAGCTGCAATTATTTTGTTCGATAGGCGTCATAGTCCAGGGTCGGTAATTTTATAAACCGTAAAAATGTTAGTCAGTTTTCAAGGGTGGAAAACGGATTATCTTCATTTCCGGCGAAACGTCTTATGGAAAAAAGTTAAATGGCAATGTTGTGGGCAATGAAAAGATTAATAACCTCGAAATTCATGTGAAAAATCCAAATAACCAAGTTTTGGGTCTTTTATTTCCATCTTTTACAAAAATTGTTTTCCATGAACTTTTGTGAAAATTCACCTTCTTATGTCCCAAACACACTGTATTTTTTTGATTTGAAATATTCATTGTTTCACCTCATTTCGACTTATATCGAAAAAGCAACTAATTTTCAATTGAAAATTCTCTCGTCCAGATATATGCTTTTTCAAAAAGGTTGGTGGGCTTTTTGGTCGTTGAAATCTCTACTTTATGATGGTGTTGAAAAAATATACAGAACCATGGTAAATGTTCTCAGAAAATGCGAAGATACGAAACTCGAATCCGAATTTTTATTTTTGTTTTGATCATTATGAAAATTACTCGAAAAACGTAAGATTCCATGTTACATTGATAAATAAAAAATAGTTGTTCTAAATAATGAAGATAGGATTCAAAAGAGATTTCATCTAAAAAATGTCACTGCTGCTCTTTCGTTTCTTCGCATTTTCTGAGAACATTCACCACAGTAATGTATATATTTTTTCACGTCATCGGAAAGTTGAAATTTCAAAGAACAAAGAGCCCATCGACTTTTCTGAAAAAGCAGAGATTCTGACGTGAGAATTTTCGATTGAAAATTATGGTGCTTTTTTGATATTGAGTCAAAATAAAGTGAAAAAAAAAATGAATATTTCGAATAAAAAAGAAAATACAGTGTTCGAGACTTGAAGAGGTGAGTTTTCACTAAATTTCGTGAACATTTTTTTGTGAATGATGAAAATGAGAAACCAAAAACTTGGATATTTGAATTTTGCACATACATGTTGAGGTTATGTGAAAAAAGTATGATGACAAAAGTTATTGATCTATTTATTACCAACAACTTTGCCATTCAACTTTTCTTCATAGGATGCGAATATTTTTCGGCCTCAACAATGTCGGCTCTAATCTGAATCACCCTGTGTAATATTTTCGAACGATTTTCGTGAAAATTCATCGCTCCTCAGCGCTCTCATCCCGATGTCTCTACCGACCGGACTAGAGTTAGTGAAGAAAAAAAAAAAGAAGCATTGCAAATGCCTAGTTTTCTAGATCATAGCTATTTATGAATTTTTTTAGGGTTTCCCGGCCGATTATCCGAATCGGCCACATCAAATTGTACTATATTTACGTTGCTGCTGATGGCCCATCTGAGTTGGTTTTCCTCCATAAACGATCGATAGCTAGCGAAAAGCCGGACAATTTTTTTTATACGTCATCGAAACGTCAAACTATAGCGTTTGTTTTTTTTTGGGGATAGTAAATTATTGTGACTGTCTTTCGGAGTGCAGTTTGTCAAAATCTGACTATAGTTGTTTTTTCTTGTTGGACCGTGTTGAAAACAATTTGAAATCATGGGTAAGTAATGACGTCACCAAGTAATGCGGTTCATTACGGTTCAAAAACTTCTGAATGAACGGTTTGAACCTCCAACTCAGGTGGAGGAGTGGGAAAACGTCGAAGTTTAAGGTTATTAATGTTTTTTAGTTCAGTTTTGGCTGAATATTTTGTCAAGATCAATTAAAAATTCCACTCGTGACTCCATTACAATTGTTTCTCTTTTTCAGACTCTTCAAAGATATTCGTTAATTTGAAAAAAATATTGATTTCAAGTCGTGAATAAGCAATCCTTGACTTTGACAGATTGCCTTGAAAACGTTTCAAAATCAATCTTGAACACGGTTCAACAAGAAAAAACATCTTATATGTACCTACACTGTTATTTATAAAGTGAGCATCATATGGGAAAAACTTGTAATAAATAATTTATTTCGAATTTCGACTTCAGTCTTGAGTTTTGCTTCAGAAAATGGGAGAAACGGCCAGATTGGTCGTTGTAACGTGACTTTCGGTACATGTCAAAAGTTACTTTTTTCAAATTAATCAATTACAATTGACTTGTTCGTTTCAATTTCAAAAATGTTCACAAAGAACATTTTTTTCATTCCACTTTTAAATTTTAACGTTTTATTGCAACTTTCAGTTCTTGATATATTTTTTTAACTGCCGTCAAATTTTCATAGATGGCTTTGGCATCATTTTAAATTTAAAAAAATCATTTCAAATACGTTTTGCTCTTGAATGAAAGACAATACATCAACTTTGCGTCAAACAATAGAAATATGAAGCGGGGACTATAATTTTCAGTAGAAAATCATATTTTTGTCGATAATTAGTGATAGAAAGTTAGTAGCATGATGAAGCTACTAAAATCAAATGATTTTGTTTGTGACAATTTTTTTTAATTATTAGACATTTCGTATAAATTGACAAAATATCAAGTATTTAAAGTTTTAATAGAACGTTCAAATTCGTGACAAACATGTAAAATTGGAATAGGCACAACTTTTCTCAGTGAATTTTTTGGAAATTCAATCAAATGAGCCTATTTTCAGCGAATAATTTGAAAAAAATGTATATTTTGACATGTAGCTGGTCACGGGACCCTGACCGAGTAGTTTTTTTTATTATTTTTTTAATCAAAACTAAACGCCCAACTCGAATTCCCAAATAAATTATTAATAAAAGTTTTTCCCTAAATAATGCCGACTTTATGGATGATACTGTAGTATATAGAGTACAGAGGGTGGCTGAAATTCGTGTCTCATCATTGGAATATCGCTAGCGGTAAGGAATACAGGATCGGTCAAATCGTGGTGAAATTATGCAATTGTTGCGTAACGTTTTACCCACCATTCGTGATATCGTTCATTTAACCGTATTTGGAGTTTGAGATTGCTGGCAATACCATCTGGATATTTGTGAAATTCGGAATACTTTCGGATATTTCCAATGCCTTGCCATCTCTTCCTAAACTTCCTAGGTATGGAAGATGTTCTTTTTGAACATTTTAGGGGTTCCCAATCGTGTGCTCCAAGGGATAAAAAATATATTCGCGAACTAAACGAAATTTCTCGAAACTATTATTACCGAAATGAGTTTTATACTTTTATCATGGCTACATTTCCTTCCCTACAAAATGGCGTTTTCGAATTTGTAAATGCGGACCAGATTTTTTATTCGTATTTTGAACGTTTTGATCTCAGATATCAATAGTGTATTAATTATTTGAGAAATTTCAGAAATCGCCATGTTTTATACTATCTCAAGAAGATATTATTGAAAACAAATATGAACTACAGATGTACGGAACTACGTACATTTATTCAATATTTTCATATTTTGCTGAATCCCCCGCTATTACATACCTAAGGGTTACTTTAATGATTTATTTTAATCAACAAATACTCCTTGTTGTTGCTGTTGTTGTTCATTCTGGCCTATTGTTGCAAGGAAAGAAATAGGGGTGATAGAGGTTACTTCTTCTTTTTCTTTGTCTTAGTGACCTTTATCTTGCAGAAAACTGGCCAGGGTTAGGTAGTACACTATGACCCACTTTGAAGAGCTTTCCAAAAATACCCCACTCAATATAAGAATTTTCCATATTGCCTTCCGGTCGTGGTTGAAGACACATGGCATCTTTTGGTCGCAAGTCTCGTGAATGTGTGTGCAAATCCAAAATGTTTTAATACCGTTTTCCACTCGTCGCACTAACTCGAACTTTTTCGGTACTGAACGCGTTTTCTGTGGTCCACTGAGAATATCATATGCGAACTTTTTTCAAGAAATCGTCTATACGAATTATTGCATAGATTTCGGGAAGATGTAATTCAATGTTCTGCGTGGAATATAGCCAGGAAATTAGTTGTTTTTCTCTCGTTGTCTACCATTTTCGTTCATTTTATGTGGTAATGACTTTGAGTTTCTCTCTTTTATCGATATTCAATTGAACATCATTGACAATAAGGAGAACATCTTCATTCATAAGACTGTTGCTGGCAGTGCTTACAGAGAAACCACAGAAGGTGGATGCGTCCATTTTATTTGGACCAGCGAAACCAAATGTACCATCAATCTGTTTTCAATAATTTAATTTTTGATTGACAAACCAATTCTGACATATCTGACGACAAGGAAGAGATAATAGCACCATCTCTCGATTTCTATTTCACTGCTCTGTGCTGGAACCGCACTATTTAAAGAACCGAGTCAGTGCCACTTATGCTTGCTCTGTGCATAAAGTAAACTTATTAAAAGGATTATATTCAACAAAATAATAATTATTTATCAACGAACAAGTGATCCCGACCGAGAGCGCTTCAATAATACCACCGGTCTCTATGCGTTACGTATCTTACACCCCATCGCTTAATCACACTTGTGATATCACTGTCCTACTCATATTCCTGTATTCTTGAGATAACGACAGTCACACTAAGAAAGATCTGTAAATCGACGAGTGGAAAACGCTATCAGTACCTGGTCTGGATAAAAATCCAATTTTCAATGTAAATAAGTTGAATAAATGTGTGGACAACATCAGGCCCCTTTATCTCTACGCCGGTAACCAGGCCGGATGATAACGGATTTATCGGATAAGCGGGTAAAACAAACAGTCAAACGTGCTCTATCATCTCTGCGCCGGTACCCAGGCCGGATGACAACGGATTTGTCGGATAAGAGGAGTACCTACATATACGATCGAATCTTATGAACATTGATGGACTAGGTCGAGTGACAATCTAATTACTTACATAACTAAGTATATAATTCTTTGAAACAATTTTTACCTAATCTAGAGAAATTGTTAACAGAAGGATACAGAAA